CGCTGGCAGGGTGGGAGGGGGGTTTGCAGCAGATGCTGGGACTGAGCGAGAGACCCCGCTGCCTGCAGCAGAGCCCTGGCCGCGGCGTGCAGCCAGCTCACAGCGTTGAGCCCCCATTGCCACGAACAGCACTATGAAACCTGAAAATCCCTCAGACTGGCCTCAAGCTCAGCAGTTGCCTGGCTCAGCTCAGGACAAGGAGCACCTGCTCTGCCTGCCCGGGCAGCCAGGGGCAGTTGGGGGGACCATCTCCATCCCCACAACCTCTCCCAAGCTCTCCCCAAGTGGCTGCCTTGACCCACGCCAACCCCTGGGCTCTCAAAGTCACAGCCCTTCAACCCAGAGTGGACTTAAACCAGCAAAACCATGAATGCATGAACTCAAAAATAGAAACAAGTGAGAAACCAGCCACCAAAGCCCTGCCTGGGGAGTTGTTGGAAGCACGTTGCACCTGCACACGGGAGGGCTCCAAGGGAGGTTCACCTCTGCACGATGAAGGAAGTTTGCTCTACCCTGACCCAAATAATTTTGCTCTCACCAGGGCACTCCCAGCCCAAGCAGGGTCGTCCCTGCTCCCCCGATGGGCAGAGGGGTGAGATCTGCTGATGCTTTTGGCACAGGAAGGTTTTGTAATGCTCCCTGCATGCGTGCCTGCACACTTCGCTGTAAAGCTTTAGGAAGAAAGGCCAACAGGTTATTCCAGGTACTTCCTTAATTCAGCCCACGAGATGACAGACCCTTCAAAATAGTTATTCGTAACAGGGCAAGCGCTTCCAGAGTCACCTTGCTGCCGACAATCAACTCCTGCTCTGTTAGAAGTGGCATTTGTACTCACTCAGTGCCACAGCAACGGCACTGCGGCAACATGGAGTAAAACATCTCAAGAAGGGAGGAAGGAGGCACCACGTGGGTGCTGGGCTGAGCTCACGGTGGGTCCAGTCACCCAGCCTGGCTGAGAGCACCAGAGGTCCGGGCAGAGAACAGGACCAGGGGTGCAGAGCTTGGCAAACAGTTAGCCTTGGAGGAAATCATTAGCTGAAACAGTATTTCTAAGAAAGTATTTAATTTGCAAAACTTTGTTATGACTTAGGCTGTCCCTACACTATTCAAGACGAGGTCGTACCTCCTACCTTACCTGTTGTAAGCAGGCAGCTTAAGGAGCCGTTTGTACACACGTAGCCAGAAAGATCCGTTCCAGAAACACGTGTTACCTCCCCTCCAGCTTACACGAGGAGCTGGAAAGGCGTCAGAACAGGTCTGTTATCTTCACACCAGATTAAAAACCTGATTAAAAGCTCCCAGTTCCAGCCTAGCGAAGAGGTTTGGTGTCTGCCCAGCGTGAGCTGCAGGACCATGCTGGGCAGCCTCCGCAGCTGAGCCGGGCAAGGGCAAACACCTGAAGCCCGTTCCCTGTAGCTGCTGCCCCAGGGCAGGAGATCTGGCACAACCAGCCTCCACAGAAACACGACCGGACTCACGCAGGAAGGAAAGCGAGGTGTTCCTCTACATCCAAGTGCTCCCTGCACCCGCTGGTCCCTGCTGGTTATCCTGGCTTCGCACGGGTTCCCACGGCCTCCCCCCGGCTCCTTCCCACAGCCGGCAGTCCGGCTCTCACTCCCCACTTGGGTCTTCTCCATCTCACAGCTGCTCAGGAAAAAAAAAAAAAAGCTTCTGGAAACAGTGAGAAGCGGAGGTAAATGAAGAGCAGGCATCTGGGAAGGCAAAACATGCTGCAGCAGAGGAAGGCTTCAGCAAAGTCAAGCAAAAACTCAGCCCTGGAGTGCTCAGCTCTGCCCCGCCAAGGAGAAAGCTCCAGGCTGGACAGTTTGTAGCATCAGGCCTGAACATCTCCTGCTCAGCCCACAAACACCCATCCTGCTGCTCTCCCTCCCACCGCCTCCTTCAATCACACTTTCCATTGATTAATTTGACTGAAGTGCATTTGTACCCAATTAAGCTCATTGACACAGTTCGGGCCCAACAGCCAGCCCAGGTGGAGCCGAGTCCGATCCAAGAGGAGCCCTTCTGCAGGCAGCAGGTCTGCTGCGAAGCTGTTACCTCGCAGTGCTGACACGGTGGAAAAGCCGAGGGTGACCTCCCTGCATGCACTGACACACCACGCCAACCGATCCTCGCAGTGACAGATGAGCAGCCGCCTCCCGAGGGTGACAGATGGGGCTGGAGAACCACGCTCCGGTGGGAAAACCGGAGCCAGGGGAGCCACGGACACCAAACCTTCTTGCCAGAGAGTCACAGCTCAAGTACAACAGCCCAGCCCTCTGCAGCGTATCTGCAGATACGAGTTTTAAAAGAATCTCATAAATATAATTTGTTGTTCTCTGTCAAGCACTTGTCCCCTCCAATCCTCCTTACAAACGATGCCCCCGCGGTGCGGAAGCACGCAAACCCACCGCCGCGCAGGGGAACCGACACACCGCACCAATGCGGGCAGTGACACAGCCGGCTGGTAAGAACATCGCTCCCCCGACACAGGGCACTGAGGGACCTCACACATCACCTCCTTTCCACGCGCACTCCCTTTCCCATCGCCCGGTTACCAAAAGCGATCAGCAGTTGGGACCGACAGCAGCCCGGGGTCCCCCAGCTCCCCCCGAGAGCATCAGGGAACACCACACAGCGAACCCACGTGCTGCTGCAACGCCGAAAGGCAACAAGCGGGGTAAAACCCAGCCCGCCGCAGGGTTAACGGCCAGGGCTACCTCGTACCTTGCAACCTCAGAACACTCCATGGCCTCTCCCAAACCAGGGCCAGAAGGTCCCCAGATCCACCCTCCTCGCCCGCACGCTCTCGGGGCGTTTCACAGCAGCACGGTCACATCGCGCCCAGGACACCTTCAGGGAGAGGGAAGAGTTGAAAGGGGCCCCAGACCACCCCAGGGTGGGTGGGAGCACCCGGCAGAGAGGTGCCTCCACAATTAGACTATGAAGTTCTCCGGTGGGAATTAACAGATGACTGTTAAATAGACTACAACTGCAAAGAAAAACCCCAACAAAGCAACCAAAACCAAAGGCCACCCAGGTAAGATGGAATTTTAAAGTTTGACCTCAAAGTTTATACTCCAGATTTTAGCAGATATATCACAGAGCTTTTACGGCTTGTTTGGATAGCGATATTCAGCACAACATTCACAGCCCCTTTACATCGTTCAGCAAGGCTTCACTTTTTACAATGCACTTCTAGCAGAAAATACATGAGCTTTTACTTGCTTTCCTCTTACCAACGTGCAGCTACACTCTGAGCAGCAGCAAAGCTGCTTTGAAAATTATTATCCAGTAAGTGTCAGAGTGGGCCAAGAAGAATAAAGTAATCTACACGAGAGAGACATTTTAAAGACTGAATTTGCCAATACTTAGCCAGAACTTCATTCATATTCTTAGCACAGAGTTTATAGCACCTTTAAAAACGTTTCAGGTTAGTGCTTCCAACACACACCTTACCAAAAACACCACTTTCAAGAGAAGATCGCTGGTGAGCCCAAGGTCAGCATACAAAGTCGGCTCAACCACAACGATTTAACAAGAGATTTTCACCCCCCGCTGCCCTCATACCTGGACCTTGACAAGCCAGCAAGATCCTGGCTGGTCCCCTTCTGCTAACGGCATGAGGCAGCAGCAGAGGACCTGTGCGATCAGTCACTCCTGGTCTGACTGTTCAGAAACGAACTGGAGCCACTCATTAACCACGCAGCAGCAGCAGCTTCTCAAATTGTTTAAAAGCGAACTTAACTCGCAAATAAAACTACTGACAGAAGACCAGGGGATAAAAGGCAAAGATGAGAACTTTGAATCACTTATTCTCACTAGTTACTGCACATTAGCTAAAGAAAAACCAAGAAAAAGTTTTTCTTGAGACAGAGCTAGCACTGGAAGACCCTTTATCTGCACAGGGCTCAGGGCACGTACACAGATTGCTTCCGCAGCCAAGGAAATGGTTGTATTTTACAAATTCTATCTGCATTCTTGATAAAGTAAGAAAAAATTCTTCTCGTGACGTTTCTGCTGATGCGTGACACGGAAGCGCTGCAGCAAAGCAGAGGGGTTGCGTTCCTCTGAGATGGGTGAAGCAGCTCAGCTGTTTTTCACCGCATCCTCCCAGAGTATGCACCATTACAAACCGGGGGGTAAAAAACCATCTCAGAACTGCACGCACCCGTGCCAAAGCATGCAGCTGGGCCACGGCAGGTGCCTTTTGGATTCGAAACGCTTTGGCCCGCTAGCCACGTGCCTTTCGCTGGGCGCTGCCGAGTGACCGGGGAAAGGCACCCACCGGGTTGGTGCCACCAGCACCAGCGCCCAACACGGCCCGAAGGGGAACGCTTACCAACACGAGCTCTGAGTTAGCTTGCATTAACTAATGCGTAATGCCGACGTTTGTTTAGATGATGTTACTTATCCATTTATTCGACAAATTAAGTTCAAACTTTTTTTTTATTAAGCACATTCCACAGTACAAAGCTTTAGATCATGAACGATATCTGTACAATTTAACAGTTTCAAGAAGCTGTTCATACACCAACTTTCCAAACAGATAATTGGCAAACATAATTACAAGTTAGAATTAGACTATCCCAGTGCTTTGAAACATTAATATAGCAGTAATGTACAGTTGCTCAATTATGGTTAGCAAAACAAGTCCAGAGTGCAGCCAGGATCACTACCATTAATCCCAGGAGTCAAGTTCCTTGGGTGCCAATCACAAAAGTCCACTGCTATGTTACACAAAGCACAAAGAAGTTTAGACTGCATGTTCAAATACCATTATCTCCCAAGGAAAAACATGAATTTAAATCTTACACATGCATTTTTAAAAAAGGACTCCGTTCTTCGGAAACAAATACCTTTTTCTTCAGGGCTGCGACAGATTTTCCTTTTTAAACAGTTTAATATTAAAGCTATTAGATGAGAAGGGTAAAGTAAGACACTTTCACGAACTACTGTCAAGCTTACCAAAAAGCGATCTTATGGACGCTTAGGAGCGTGTTTTTCATCTTCTGTACTTCTTCACATTCGGTCATCTCGATGAAATAAATATTGTTGTAGTAACACGTAAATGGGAGTTTAACTTAAACACTGATCCCAACACCTCTCTCAATGTGAAGGGTGAAGAGGAGAAAACCTTAAGCCGCGCTTCTGTAACGGTTCGGTAACGCCTTGACGTACGCTTTCTCTGAATTCGCTTGACACAGAAACGATGCGTCTAACTGTGGCCATTCCGCAGTAACGCAGGAGCGATCCCTCAGCAGTCGGACATCCCCTAACTCTTCTGATTGTAAAAGGGAAAAATGCAAACCCAAGAAAGTGCTGCCAGAGGACAAAAACATACGGCGTACAAACGATCAAAGGAATGACAATACATTTCTGTGCCAACAAGCATCTTCCCCAGGAAAACAGGCAGATTTCACGCTGAGCTCTAAAGCATTAAAGAAAAGCCACCGACAGGCGTAGTCACACATGGCTAATGCAGATAAAATATTCATGTTTGCATTTATCCATGTCTTATTCTGACAGAAGAAAAATGCAGTAGCGTTTATATGACCACATAAATTAGAAGGGAGACTATGACAACATAAAAAGAAACTATTGAGACTTCCTAATGAAAGCATGCTAACGAAGAGGAACCATGACCAGGACCATCGCAACATGGTCACAGCTGATAGCTACGGAAAAGAAAACTAGCACGGTAATTAGCATGGTAATCAGCATGGTAACCAGAGCATTGACTTGAAGGGACCTCCACTCCACCGTAAGGAAGTGTTACAAATCAAACATAAATAAATTTAACTTTGGCCCATGGCATCTTCTCCATTGAGCAGCCAAACTAATGCTAAGGAAAGACATCAGCAGGCGTTTGTGAGGACCTACTGGTGTTAAAAGAAACGTCTGTAAATACTGCGGCACAAAAATATAAGATACAGAACATAAATTAAACATTTTTTAATTTTTAAAAAGTTCAGAAATTACATTTTAAAATATGTAGTTCCCATTAAAAAAATCCTAATGAATACTGAAAACCTCCTTTTGCAGAGAAAATGTCTAAGTAACTCGTATTAACCCCTACAGTGCCAGTAGTTAGAACATCCTGCTGCCAAGTGCTACCACATTTTGTATTAGTGTGTAGTGTCAGGAAATCCTGACTCCTAGCACCCGGAGTTACACTGTTATGTACATTATATCTACATGCTTATACAGTATTTGAAATGAGGCAAGCACACATGGAAAGGTTTTACTATACCAAACATTAGGAAGCGTAGGACGGCTGTAGTACAGAGCACAGTTAAAAGGAAAAGACAGTGCTATACAACTAGTTTAGATAACCTAGCCTGAATTACAGGTAATCTTTAATTTAAAAGAAATTATTGGTGCAGAAACAAGTAAACTGTAATCCAAAAATATTACTGAGCAATTCAGAAATATTTCTAAGAGTCCAACGTACACTCCTATCAAACAAAACAGGCTCTGAATCTGTCATGAGAGTAAAGTCTAAAGGACAATGGTGACTTTGAAAGCAAAGCTCTGTACATTCTGGGTATGTGTTTGGCACCCAAATTTCATTGGAGAATGTTTTTTCTTTAAAGTCAGACAAAAGTGCAAAGCAATATAAATTAGGCCAAGTCCTTTCTTGACTTCTGATTTATTTCTGAAAAACAAGCCATCAGAGTTCAGTTTCTACGGACAATTTACATGTGAAGCTTTGGATTTCTCATTGCAGGGAAGGATAGGCTTCTGAAATTCATCTACTCGAAGTCAGTGAATTTGTAGTAAATTCAAAGACGACCACTGAGAGCAGGAAAGATTAAGAAATTTAAATATAGAATTGTGCTGCTTTGCATCTACACAGCATCTAGAACCAATTCTGACTTTAGCTGTCAATCAACATCTTCAGGCATGTAGTAGCCAAAAATCCAGTAGTTCAAGACTGTGAAACCCTGAAAAAGACAAAAGACAAGCTGAACTGCCAGAAGATACAAATCAAAAAGCAACATTTGGAGACATCTGGAGGAGGTTAGGCCCACACCATCTTTTGCACTCCAGGCTGAAAATAAAAGGGGAAAATACCTGCGAGGAGTGCAACGCTTACGCGACATGTTAAGGGGGTGCTCGCCATTAAATACTTCCCTCTGTGCTAGAAGTCCTTCCTTGAAGGAGAGATGCAGCTCCACAGGACATTGCCTTCGTTGTAGAACATGCTCTGAATTCAGTTGAAGAGCAAGATTCTCAATAGCACTAGTCCTTGGGGGCTCATCTAAAGCTTGGCAGTTTTCTCACGTGTAGAAGAATCAAAAACCCTCTTGGGAGCTAACAGGTGAACCACCAGCTAGTCTCGCTAAATGCTGAACGCCTGTTACTGAAACAGTGACCTACATACAACTGCGAGAAAATTTTCCTTTCTTCTTCACATTGCAGAGGAGCAAGCTTTGCACAGGATACAAAGTTCAGTTGCTTTAATACATGGGGTTTTAAGAAAACAGACAAAAAACTCAAGTAATTTTATATTTCGGTTACCTTTTCCAGCCACATGACTCCATTATTAGCTTGGAGCCAGTGCAAATTCTTAGTGTAATTAAATCTGAACTTTGATTTTACCTGCCACTTCCCAAAAATCATTTTTATGGACTACAGAGAACTACCCTCTTCTGATATGAAATTCCCATGAAAGGTTAAAACATCTTTAGGCACTTCCCCTTGACTTCCCTTCCCCCAGCCCAAGGCCTAGTGCTTAATGTAAGAATATTAGACTATCATATGGTAACAATTTTTATCATGTTACAATAAACAACAGGAATTCAACAGAACGCAATAAAACTCTCGCAGCCAACTGCCAGGACTGTCAAAAATGATCCGCTTTGAAGAGACATAACATTGCAAGCCTTGTAAAAAAGTGTACAGGGCTGCTTCAAAATTCAGAAAACTATAATGTTTGAAAGCATACAAAACTATTTCATTAAATGTCATAATGAAATATTAGCTGTTTGACCATAATTTTATGTAGATTTATGTTTTTTGGATTCTGAAGTTAGACAAACCTGTAAAAAAGTGACATCACAGCATCTCTCCTATATAGGAACCAATTATTGAGGGACTATCATTACCAACACCAACAACTCCCAGGATATGGAGGTCTGCGTGGTTTCAGTTGTGCGTCATGGGACAAGTCAGACATAAGCTGTGCAAAACTGTCAAGTGTGCAGAATTTGAACGGAAGAACACACTGCCAAAGGCATTTCATATTTCACTGACAAATCTCAATGACAGTGGGTCTTGTGGGCCACATGTGGCAAGAGAGGACAGTAAGACACCAGCACATTGGTGGTCAAGCGAATTGACATAAATTTTATTCAACTCCTGATTTCTTTTGTGCTTAAGACATGCTATGTATAGCTTTTTCCATGAATCAAAACTAATAAAAGAAGCTTGCCAAATACACTTCTGTAATTTTTTTTAAAAACAAAGCAACAGAAAAAATCTGTCAATCTCAAATTATCTTATAAGTTAACAGAAGAAATTACTGGTGTATGAACTGGAAGATAGATGGAGATTGTTCCTAAAACTATTGTTGTCTTCTCACACAGCCTATTCTATATGCCTGAAAAGGCAAGGGGAAAAAAAAAAAAAAAGAATTATTCAGAAAGGAGAAAAAAGTTTTCAAGAGAGAGGGAAAACCATTCAACCTCAACAAGCCTTGAAGTTTCCACAGCAGCAGTTCACCTAGGTACGGACCCAGGTGGCACAGAAGTCAATGGCAGTATCTCTGTCTTAAAAGGAGCAGGACAAAGTCCCTAAGGATGTTACCATCAAGCTTCCCCCAACAGGGATACAAGTATGTCACCCCGGATCAAACAGGATCATTTTGAAGTGGAAGTCACAGGTAAGCAGTGGTGGAGGACCTGGCTCTTTGGGTAGTTTCAGGATTTACCTCCCAGAAAGTTGTGTCTTTAGCCACTTCCCCACCTCGTACAAACATTAAGTTTAGGAGCTTAGCCTTTTCACATTTCTGTTGTCTTACTGCAGGCAGGATAAGGAAGTCCATGAGTTTTACTAAACTACCCTTGCAGCAGTGTTCTTAAATGTGGTTTTAAGAGAAAGTTCCATTAACTGCTGATTCTGCACCCTAGTTTATCATCATAGCATAAGACTTCTTCCTTAATCATGGGCCTAATTATATTAAGTAATTACAGGTTCAGAAAGACAGGCAACTCAGTCTAGCAATGCCAGCTTTTTGCTTAGATCCCCTGTGAAACGTGACGAGCCAACAGATCCAAGTATCATATCCAGAGAGGACGTTAAATTGCCTTTTTTTAAAATGAGTAGGGGTTCAGTTAGTAGGAAAGGCAGTCAACGCTTTCCTGAGGAACGCTTACAGGTGAAAGAAAACTAATTTTTGAGAACCACCATCTCAAAGCAGCAAAGCATGCCTCCACAAGGGAAGGTATTTCCTAGCAGAGATCCTACAGGAATGGAAAAACCTGAGGAACTCATTGCCACAGCAAGGATAAACACATACAGATAGATAATGAAAATCCATGCTTACATGAAGACAGGGAAAGCTTTTCCCACAATGTTTAAGCAAACTATTAATTATCCACTTCAAATAAAATAAATCCTTCCTGTTGGGGCAATGTTACTCCTAAGTTCTCTTGCTGCAGTGTCTCCACTTCCTTGGAGGCATCCAGTCTCAGCACTGGAGAAAGGGGCAACTGCTCTGCTTTGGTAAGGCAACTTCTGTGTTTCCAAGTCCCAGCATTCACAGCTATTTATAGTTCAAAGTGCAATTGTTGGCAGCAACATAGATGACATAAGGAAAAGAATCCACTGTTCTAACAAACAGATCTACAGCGGAGCTTTTACCCACCGTGCTTCAAGAACTAAATGAAGCTGACTTGCAGAAAAAAGGAAACAAAATAGGCAAAGTTCATGTGCACCGTTTCTGACAGCTCTAGGTTGTCATGCTGTCTAACACCGTGTAATTTTTAGTTCTGATTTTTTTACTATTTGTGGTTATCACAGAACTGCTCATTTCTGATAAGCATTTGTCCAAAGATCTTAAGTTCAGTTTACCAGAAATGCATTACAATGCTCATTACAAAGCTTCACATAGTGAGCAGATGCATCAAGAACTCTAAAAGGCTCTGATTTCACAGGGTATCTGGAATACCTGAGCAATACACCGAGTCTCCTCCATTTCCAAGAACAATGTGAATATGTAATAACTTTCCATATAATACCTGAAGTACACAATTATAAACAGGAGGGATTATATTATAGAAGGGGATAAGATAACATGACATGACAAGTTTTGTAAGCTGAAGCACGACCAAAGACTAAATAGTGAAAGAAGTGGCATAAATAGGTTTTATTTTCTTAAGGAAAACATCAGTTTGTTGTTTTAACCAAGCCAACCTGCAAACAGAGTGGTAATTTCACATATTTATAATACATCCAATAAAGAGAGGGAGACTTACCCTCCGAGGGTAGTAAAGTGCAGACTGTTATCTGGAGATGTAAGTGTATGTTCTAGATGGAGAGCGGGTCTCATTCTGGGCACTGGGTGGCACGTTTAAGAAATCCCAAATCAGAATTGTATCGTCATGGGAACTACTAATGATCTGAAATTCATCAAACTGGAGTCTAAAGACACGTCCTGAATGTTCCTGTGAGTAATACGAAATCAGTTAGCAAGGCAAGAAGAGGATAACATTTCATTACATTTGTACTCACACATGTATCTGGACACAGAACGGTGTATTCAAACTGTGGTGTGCTGGTTAAGAAACCCTTAGTTACAATTACAGTCGAGTTTAAGAAAAGCTGATTTCATACGTAAGCTTTTTTCAGCAAAAGACATGGCTTCCAAATCCAGTGCTTGTAAACCCTGAGTCTCCCCTGGAGGGGCCAGCCGCAGAGGCTGCGATTATTAAAGACGAAAGCAGCCTATCAATCAAGCAGCAGCAATTTAGAAGATTGGCTGGCACCAACAATCTGCCAGGGCTCCTTCTCTTACATAACATTTGCATTCATCACTGCTGCTAACTCCATTTTTGTATAGCACTAATACACCACATCACAGCTTCATCTAGGACGCGCTGTTGAAAGGATCATTATGGCTTGCTTACTAATCAAGACAGACTGTGTTCAAACGCTGCCATAAGAAAGGGAGCTGGAGGAGTACACGCTCTGTCAGCTCTTTCAAGAAATTTCAAAATGGCACTGAGGCCCAGAAAAGGTTCTCTTCTTCATCCTGCTTATCCATTTTTAATAAATTTAAAAGGAGTACGCTACTTTTATTAGAGAACTAACCGAAGCTGTCAGCCTGATCTCCAAACTATAACCTGAGCTACAGTATACCCACAGAGGGGAAAGAATCAACTTTCAGTAAAACTAAATACACCGCATTCACACGGAATAAAAGAATAGATAAATCTCATCTCTATGCAAAAACCACTGAAAAGAAAGAAAAATTAGGAGCATTTCTGGCCATGTAAGCACTTCTTTAGGTGTTGGAAAGGCCAAGCACATGCTGAATATGCCAATTACCATCACATACAGACAACAACTTTAGGTTGCTACTAGCTTGTCAAACTGACTCCTGAAGTAAAATTTCATGCACATTGCAGTGGAAAGAACAATGAACTCATTTCCCTAAATTATTTTTAATGAAGTCTACTGTCATAAACCAAAACCCTCATTACAAAGAAAAATGTAACTTAAGCAACAGCCTTAAATCTGATAGTCCCCTGAAGTGATTAGAGTTCCTGTGGTAATCCGTTCGACTCAACCTCCCTTCCCTCTTCACATCTCTTCCTTCCAAACTGAAAGGTTAGGAGAAAGGATTGGGAAAGGCTCACAAGATTCCTCCCTGCTTTTTAGTAAGAGGTAATTTAAAGCCAGCGCTACAATGGTATTAGGGAAACACACCAATAACTAGAATTATTTGATACAGTGTCACGCTGATATTTTTTTTTTTTAAAGTATCTGAGAACCTCAAACTAGAAAAATTTGATCTTTCTTTTAAGCTCAGATCCAAATCGATCAGGATTTAACAATATATAATTTTTTTCTTTATTCTTAGAATAAGCAGCAGCCTAGGCTTTATAAAACATCCTGGGTTTTTCACCTATCCCACTATAATGTGATAAAATGCCTCTCACTTACAAATGAAAGATTTCAGATAACCCCAAATAAGTTAATTTTACATACCACTAACGTACGCAAGCATAATGTACTTGCTGGGGCACGAGGGTCAAGAGCAGCTTGCAAGTCCCAAACTTTAATTTTGCTATAAAGTAAAATAAGAAGGTCATTATGAAAGCATTGTTTCAAGTATAAGCATAGAAGAAACACCTAAAGCAATGGAAAGCACGC